CTGATGGTAGGGGCGTTGTCATTCACGTCAGTGACGTCAATAATAACTTTACTTGAATCAGTTAAACCTCCGTGATCTTTGGCATCGATCCTGAGTTCATATTTTTTGTCTTTTTCAAAATCTATTGGCCCTGAAACATACAATAAACCTGAGGACTGATCTATGGTCAACAAGTCGGCGACGTTGCTCCTGGCGTTAGAAATAGAATAGGAGATGTAACCGTTTATTCCACTATCTGCGTCCGTAGCATTAACTCGAACAATGGGAGTACCATTTATTGCGTTTTCTACGACAGTGGCCTTATAAACAGACTGGTTAAAAACGGGGGCATTGTCATTTGCATCTAAAACGTTTATATGTATATTCACAGTACCAGATCTTTGTGGATTCCCACCATCTACTGCAATATACTTTAAAGATAGATGGGGCACAGCCTCACGGTCCAGTTGCTTCTGCAGAACCATCTCTGCATATTTACTTCCATCTGGGTTAATGTGCTGCTTTAAGACGAAATTATCATTTGGGGTTAAGATATAATTTTGCAGTCCATTCACGCCAACGTCAGGATCCTCTGCGCTGTCAAGCACAAATCGCGCACCAAGGTTAGCAGACTCGCTAATGTCTAATATTGTATCCGTTTTTTTAAATACCGGAGGATGGTCATTGACATCAAGCACTTCGATTGTTACAGGGTGTAGTTCGACAGGATTTTCTAAAATGATTTCAAAGCTGAAACTGCACGGTGTTACGTCTCCACATAGCAGCTCTCGGTCGATTCTCTCATTGACGACAAGAACCCCTTTGTCTACCCTCAACTCGGCATACTGGGTACTTTCTCCGGTAACAATGCGGGCTCGACCCGAACTGAGCCTTTTCACATCCAAACCAAGATCATGTGCTACATTACCGATAAGGGATCCCTTCTTCATTTCTTCTGATATAGAGTAGCGAATCTGGGAGGCCACCATGTTCAATGAAGACAGCAGAAAAATGACTGTTACACGCTGGAAAGCGAATACCAAACGCCTTTTGTGGAAGATTTGATGACAAACCATCTTGGAGATATATATTTAGAGTAAATAAATCCAAATGAACCCGAGTCCTTGGATTTTACTTGGGTATCAATAACCCCCTATTTGATTAATCTTCGCTCAATCCGAAATGCGTAGGAAAAATGTGTAATGATTCCATTCCCAGATGTCGACGTTTCTGTTTGTGTGCCCTGTGCAAATGCAATCCTAACAGCAAGCCGAACTGCACATAAAGGAGGACGGTCATCGTTGCCTTGTTCAACAGCGTCACTTAGAGTATATATTGTGAACATCAAATTAATGTAGTTTTCAAACACAATGCTGATCGTAAATTGGATGAAATATTTCATATTTCACTTTTCAGAAATATATTAAAAAAACATATCTACTGTATAAACCATTATTTGAAAATCATAAGGAACAAATTAATATTATCGTTTATATAGCTGTTATTTTTTGTGGTAGCTGTAAGTAGCAAATATTATACAAATAAATGCTGTGAAAAGATAGTCGTGCAAGTGGAACTTAACTTTGAAATTACACAAAGGAATCGTGTGCTATTGGGGAGCTGTCCGCATTGTGGTGCTGAAACTAACTACATGCAGCTTCCTTCAGCTTTGTATGTGGTTAGATCACAAGATGTTTGTTTTTTAATCTGTTTTAGAAAACATTAAGCTCAAAGCATCTCACCTCTAGAGGAGAGTCTGGTTCATCCAGGATGCTCTTCTCA